ATAAACAGAAGATTTGAAATGGGTCTGTAATTTACCAGTTCACTAGTATCTAGTTGTGGTTTCTTAATAAGAGGCTTAATAATCGCCAGCTTATATGGTTTTTGGACATGACCTAAAAATAACGACAAGTTAATAATATTGAGAAGCGGTTTTTCTGCTACAGGTAACAACTCTTTCAGTAATTTAGTGGGTACAGGATCTAATAAACATGTTGTTGGTTTAGATGCAGTGATATGTTTATTTAGATCTTCCTGTCCTATAGTTGTAAAGCACTACAGGTTTTCTTTGGGTGCAATGAATGAAGCTGAATTACAAGACACTGTTGATTCTACATATGTCACCCGAGTTAATTCAACCCCTCGTCACGCGGGACGAGGCCTGGCAGGCCATCCCCGGAGTGTTGAGAGGGGTTATGGAGATAATAAAGTGAGGATATTCACTCCAATTCACTCGAAGACCCCCGCACTTCAGCGGCGTGGTCCCCACCTCAGTGCAGAGCAAGGACGCTCATGTCCTGCGCTCAGAGGTGATGAATTTGCTGGCAAAAGGAGCCGTGGAAATGGTTCCTCCAGCCCAGAGCGAGTCAGGCTTTTACAGCCGTTTCTTCCTCGTCCCCAAAAGAGATGGTGGCCCCCTCCTCGATCTCAGACACCCGAATCGCGCCCTCTTGAAGAGGTCATTCAGGATGATTACACTGAAACAGATCCTCGCGCAAATTCGCTCGGGAGACTGGTTCTTTTCTCTGGACCTGAAGGATGCATACTTTCACATCCAGATAGCCCCTCGTCACAGGCCATTCTTGAGATTCGCCTTCGAGGGAGTGGCTTATCAATATACGGTCCTTCCCTTTGGGCTGTCCCTGGCCCCCCGCACTTTTACGAAGTGCATGGATGCGGCTCTCTCCCCTCTAAGACAGATGAGAATCTGTATTATCAATTACCTCGACGACTGACTCGTTCTGGCCCAGTCGGAGGCAGAATTAATATCTCCCAGGACCCTCCTCCTCAGCCACCTGGAGTGCCTGGGACTCAGGGTCAATTTTGCCAAGAGCTCGTTACTTCCCAGCCAGCGAATTTCGTTCCTGGGAACAATTTTCGACTCAGCCCAAATGAAAGCTTTAGTCACGCCAGAACGATCTCTGGCCATATGGAGGCTGGCGACCTCCTTCGAGATCGGCACCGCTCGCCCTCTCGAAGCGTTTCAAAGGATGCTGGGCCTCATGGCAGCAGCATCTCCAGTCCTACAGTTGGGTCTGCTGCGTATGTGCCCCCTTCAGCGCTGGTTGAAACCACGGGTTCCATCCCATGCGTGACGTTACGGACACCTGCATATCAGGGTGAGTCAGGCCTGTGTATTGGCCCTGACCCCCTGGAAGAACTCCCACTGGATGGAACAGGGCGTGGCCATGGGGATGGTTCACAGAAGGACAGTTGTCACGATAGACGCCTCCAACTCAGGTTGGGGGGCACTGTGTGAGGGCATACCGACCTTCGGCCACTGGTCGAAGGCGGAAAAAGGCTTCCACATCAACTGCTTGGAAATGCTAGCAGTATGTCGAGCCTGTCAGTTCTTCCTGCCAGTCCTAAGGGGGCACCATGTGCTAATCCGATCGGACAATATGTCTGTGGTGTCCTACACAAATCGCCAGGGAGGCCTCTCCTCGAAGCGCCTCTTCACGCTGGTAGAGCGCTTCTTAGAGTGGGCTCAACCCAACCGGGCAAATTGAACCAGGGAGCGGACATGTTATCAAGGAGTTTGGATGAACCAGCTGTGGCTATCGGAGCTAACTCAGCTACTGATAGAGGCCCCTTGGCCTGTTGCACTGAGACAGGATCTCCTCACTCAAGCGAATGGGACATTATGGCATCCTCGGCCGACCTATAGGCCCTGCACCTCTAGCCGCTCGACGGAAGCCTTCGTGCCTCCCAGAGCGAGTCTTAAACACAATTTGCGTGGTCATCCGCTTCCAGAAGGGTTCTAGGAGGCTAAATCCGCCTCTTCCCCCTACCGTCCCTTCGTGGGACCTGCCCACTGTGCTGAGGGCCCTGAAGGGCCCCGCATTTGAGCCGCTACAGTCTGCCAACATTAGGTCGCTATTGCTGAAGACTGCTCTTTTTCTAGCACTGGCATCAGTAAAGCGATTAGGGGACCTGCAGGCGCTCTCTATTAGCCCTGCCTGCCTGGAATTCGGGCCTAACGACTCTAAAGTCGTCCTGAAACCAAGGCACGGTTACGTACCTAAAGTGCGCTCCACTCCATTCAAAGCACAGGTCATTACGCTCTCCACGCTTCCTCCAACTGAAGAGGACTTCGCAAGGTTTTATAACCTGGAAGTAAGTTCTGGTCCTTTTCGCTTGAAGTGACATGCGCTGCGTAAACAGATCTGGCAGAGAGCACTTGGCCGTATCACGCCCAAGTTCTCTGGCATTGTTTCACTTGTTAGCTCTCGACCCCTGGGTGTCGAAGTTACAGGAATACTCTGGAACGATTAACCAGGCCGGGTGTGACCTAGGAAGCTCAGTCCGTCTTAGCCTTGGGTTATTGTTAACTTCACGTTCCCGTATATCAGGGAACCGAGGTTACGTTAGTAACCATCCTGCTACTGGCATTAGCATCAGTTAAGCGAGTAGGTGACTTCCAGGCGCTCTCGATAAGCCCTGCCTGCTGTTCCCGCTTCGCTCTCGAGCCGCTTCAGCGACCGTGCGGATCTCAGCTTGCCCCCTGCCGCCATCTGGCGGACCTAAAAGAGCAAATTTAAAAGTGCAAATTTGTGGCGTTGTTGCAAATGTCGCACCGTCATTGCACCTCGTGCAGAACTTCCCTGCACGCTGATGACAGTGCATATTTGCTCTTTTAAATTAGTTATTTTAGGCTCGCCAGATGACAAAAAGTTGTTTAGGATGGAAAGAAACCTTCACACTACATACAATGGTAGATTTGTTCTCAGCTTTTGTTGAATTTTGATAATTTAAATTATGTTAAACAATATTTTATCTTTACTTTAAGATAAGGACAAAGGTGTTGCTAGGATGTGGCCATTAAAAAAAATGAATAAACCCACTGCTCCATCTTCAGGTACTGTAAATGATTTATTTTCTCTCATTTTCTCAGTGAAGTAGAACAATTAAGATATGAAACAGTGGTTAAATTATGTTGGAATCCAGCAAAATATATTGTGCAATATAGATGAAAATTACAACAGTAAAATAGCCCAAAATAAAAATAAAAAATTATATTGATTAAATATTATTTTTGATTAAACAGAGTATGATGAACCCTGGCGGTCCTTGGACTGGAAGTAAGTTCTGAAGACCTTTTTCCAAGTTAAGCTTATTACTTGACCCTCTGGAAAACTTGATTCTGATTGTTTAATGACAACATTCCATGGTCATATTTGTGTAATGACAACTAAACTGAATGACCATTGTCTCAGGCAACATTTTTCCTACATACTGATTTCATGCCTCTCGTAGCACTCTGAGGTCTTTTTTTCTCATATAGACAATGAGCAAAATAAGCCTTTACAAAAATGTAAATGGTTCAGAATCTGTGCACATCTGTTCATTTCTAAATTTTTATTTGCAGTTTTATTCAGCATCTTTTGTTGCTATACAACTTAAGTTGATGCTTTTCATCTTTCACTTTTTAGTTTTATTTAGTTTTATTCTGCATCTTGCATTTTGTGTTGCTATACAAGTTAATATGTGTTGATGCTTTTCATCTTTCAGTTTCTTTTTAAATTATCTTTCAAGCAAAGATAGACAAAATATTTTGTCAACAATAATCAACTTCAAACCTGGGAACAAAGAAATCAAGACTCTGAGAATTCTTCTGTATGGACCGCAAGGTGCTGGAAAATCAAGCTTCTGCAACTCTGTAAATAATACTCTCCAGGGGCGCATCACTACCAGAGCCCTGGCACAATCAACAGATACTGGTGGAAGTTTTACTTTGAAGGTAAAAACATTATTTTTGAGAGAGAGTGAGAGAGAGCGAGAGAGTCACGGTCATTTTCTGTTTTTTTTTCTTGTTCCTCTTAAGGCGGGCGTACACGGTGCGATTTTTGCTGTCGTTTGTAAAATCGTAGTAAATTCGTGTCCTGTGTGACTGCCTCCGTACAATTTTCGGATAAACTCAATCGTGACATGTGCCAGCTAGAGCTCACGACGTTCCGACCTTCAGAATCGCACCGTGTACGCCCGCCTTTAGCCTGAGTTCTCATTCATTGTTTCTGATTGCATACCTGTTGCTTGTCCCATTGGTTACTATTCCCTGTGTATTTAAGCCCTCATGTGTATTTGCCTGTGTTATGCATCTTTTGTGGATTAATGTAGCAGTGCTACGTGACAGAACACTAAAGCCCAGAAAAGATTTACAAGACATGGATATCTCCCCTCTACGGTGGCCCGGCCAGTAGTGCACAACACAACAAAATCTTCACAACACAACGAAATTGCTACAACACAATGGAAACAAGCCACAACACAGCAAAATTAGCACAACACAATGGAAATAAGCCAAAACACAACGAAATCTCCACAACACAATGAAATCGCCTCACAATGGAAATAAGCCAAAACACAACGAAATCTCCACAACACAATGAAATCGCCACAACAAAGGAAAGAAGTCACAACACAACAAAATTCACACAACAAAACGGAAATGCTCCCACTCCTTTTTCTTGGCCACTATAGAGGATGCGTTAAAACTAAGGACTCTAGAGGTAATGATCTAACGAAATTCAGATTTTGGGCATTTTACTATCATAAGCAAAGTCATTTATGGCTATGCGAATTTAAAGTGTCATTTAAAAATCCTGGTACAGTAAAAGCTCTCTAAAATTTGTATATTTTTAAACCATTAACTCTAGCACGAAGCCCATATTTTAGCTTTAAAGCATCGTGTAAGTGGCCGCGAGAAACAGCATTATGAAATGAATTCAACAGTAATAATGTGTGCAAGTTCAAGAGTCCATGAAAACATTTGTATGGTATTGGTATAGTACATTGTTCAAAGTTAAGAGTTTTGTTATTCCAGTACCACTATATAAAGTTTGCATTTTACACCTCTATTTGCAGTGTAGCATATTTTAGATGCTGTTTACACTAATTGACAATAGAAAGTATGGCAACACTTTATAATAACTGCATGCTATGAATCGTTAGTTAAGCATCAGTAAATAGTTAATACATCATTTATAAAGCATTGTCCCGACATTAATAGACATTAGTAAGCAGTTTCTAAATACAGCTATAAATGCTTTATTCTTCATTTATAAGCATGTGTATAATATGCTTAATAATTGTATTTTCATTCTTTATTAATGATCAATTTATCATTTCTAAATTAAGTATTACATTATTTACAAACCAGTTAGTAAGGAGTTGTCAGTGGTTCATGAGATCATTTAGAAAGTGTAAGTGATTAATAAACTATTTGAATGTTCATTTATACATCTTATTATTCAGGCATAAAGTAACAATTACTCAGTGCGTTAATTAATGCTTTATCAACACGTATTCGTGATTAATTCAGGTAGTTATAAAACATTTACTACTTGTCAGTTAACTATTTTTGTGAGCCCATCTAAAGTGAGGACTATTTATGCCTCGTAAAGCATTTACAAATCAGATGTAAAGGCTCAGTTATCTTCTAAACAGAAAAAGGAAAGAAACACAACACAGAGGGATACAGAAAATAGAAATATGTATTTTCATAAAAATAATTACACTGTACAACTGTACACCTCATATAAAATGAAAAATAAACCTCTGCAATGCCATAGAAAAATTTAAAATCCTGTACACCTCCAGAAAACATAACTGTGCACCAAAATGAAACTAGGCATCTGCAATCTGATATAAAAATACTGTAAAAATAAAAATTTCTGTAAAGTACAAACATTGCTGAATAAAAATTTACGAGTGCAAACACTGGATTACAGAAGTGCCAAAATACAACAAATAACATTTTTATAAAACAATAACAATAATATAATAAAATATGTCAAAACTGTGTCAAAACTACCTCAGTACTAACTTTCAAACATTAGAGAACAGCAGTTCAGATCGTGGATGAGTTTAGGTTCATTGTACAACTTTAGTTTGTTTTAGTAAGATTTAGTGTGAAAACTTCCCCAGATCCTAAGTCAGTTCACTTTTGTTTTAGGGGCAGCAGCTTACCGGAAACCTTAAAGGCTTTGATAGTATCTTGTATAGCTGGATCCTCATGAATTGCAGCAGCACACTGTGTGGCAAATGCACTAAGTTTAACCTGACTGCTGTGTTTTTAAGGAGTTCCTTATACTTGTCATGTGCAGTGATGTACAGCTCTGCGATTGGAGCATTGACCACCACTGTGTTCCGGTCCACACCAACATGCTTGAAAGCAGCTGACATGGTCCCTCCCCTACTGAAGTGCCGAATAATTTTTTTGTATCGGGCCACCACCTGCTGTGGTGTTTGAGCTGTAATTAAAAGAAAACAGAATAAGTGTTAGTAGTTGGTTTAATTATTCTTGCACACCCTTTGACACACACACATTTGACTCATAGATTGTTCCAATCTACAGTATGACACAGAGTGTGCAATTTTTTTTTTTTAACAGTGCTTTAGCTAACCAAAGAATATTTATCTTAAGGGAAGTTTCTGTAGTTTGCTGTAAGTTCTTCCAGAGTGAAGTAAATGGTAGCTTATTAAGTTATGATTGAATGCAATAAATGCAGCTTAAGTCACCCTCTCATTTTGTTTTAAAGGGTTAGTTCACCCAAAAATGAAAATTAGGCTGTTTTACTCAACCCAGAGTCATCCTAGGTGTATATGACTTTCTTCATTCAGACGAATCCAGTCAGAGTTACATAAAAAATTGTCCTGGCTATTCCAAGCTCTATCATTGCAGTCAGCGGGTGTTGCAGTGCTTCAGTCCCAAAGAAGTGAATTAAAAAGTGTCCATCCATAAAAAAAGTGTCTCACACGGCTCCGGGGGGTGAACAAAGGCCTCCTGTAGCGAATCGATGCGTTTTTGTAAGAAAAATATCCATATTCAAAACGTAATAATCACTTTAATCTAGCTTGCGCCAATAGTTGTACACTGAAGCAGTTCCGGGCTGATGACGCATGAGGTCAGCGCTGCGCATGCGCTGATGAGTCTCGTGAAAACCAACGTTTGTTTACAGGATCAAAGGAAGCAAAGTTTCCTTACTTTAGCAAAGGAAAACCAGTCTCCTCTTGGCTTATATCGAAATCCTCTGACATTCTTCTTTACAAATCCTCGTTTTGTACTTCTAATTCGTGACCGTTGTTTTGTTTTGATCTCTCCGCTGCGTTTCCGTGTACGTCACTTCTGAGCGGCGCATGCGCAAAGCTGACCTCATGCACTAGCGAGCATCCGATGTAAATCATGTTTTCAAAAAAGAAGAAGTCACACTGTTAGGATTGTTCCAACGTGCTCTGACGCAAAATTATAATCTCACATAGTGTTTATTAATTTTACGGGTCAGCTAACTGTGAGGTGACACTGCAGAGTGTATTTTTCAAGTGTTTATATGTGTAATCGCTTTGCTAGTTGAATTAATTCATTACCATACAAATAAATAACCTCTCCGGCACTCCCACGGACGGTTAGCTCACGCGCAGGTAACGTTACTGCAAGTGTGGATGAACAAATACTGAAGTTACAG